GGAAGAAGGGATTATTTAGATTTACAGTTCCAGAGAGCTAAGAGTTCATCACGGCAGGGACCCATGGTAGCAGGTAGCAGTCATGGCATCAAGAACAGCTGAGAGCTCACATCTTGAACCACAGCAGGAAGCAGAAATAGAAAACATGAAATGGCATGCATCTTTAGACTCTCAAAGCCCACCTGCATTCTCCAACAAAGCCACACCTCCTAAGCACCCCAAAGAGCACCACCAACTGTGGACCAAATATTCAGCTGCCCAAGACTATGGTGAACTAATGACATAAGGATAGGTCAGAATAGCAAAGACATGACATGAAAATACCAACTGAATCTAGATAAATAGAAAGCTAACTCTGGATAACTGGTCATTACATTTATAAGAAGGTTAGAAAGATGGTAACTATTTATAAAAAATGACTTTAAATTGTATGAGTGTTCTGCCTGTATGTATGTATGTATGCATTCATGTATGTGCACCATATGAGTGCTGTGTTAATGAAGGCTGAAGAGGGCACTGGATCTTTCTAAGCATGAGTTAGAGATGGCTGTGAGCCACTGTGTGGGTGCCAGGAACTGAACTTGGGAATGCTAGAAAAACAACCAGTGCTTTTAACCATGGGTGATCCCTCCAGACCCCTGTTTAATTTCTTAATAAAGCTGTGCAAATTTAATTCTATTACTTCAAAGCTCCATAAATCATCTTTTGATAAAGCTAGATTGTTTCTTCCAAATAAATTATCAGCAGCAAAAATAAATTCCCAGCCACAAAAAAAAAAAAAAAAGCCAACAAAAACCCAAAACAATAGAAATTCTAGATGAGGGACCCACAATCTGCATTTTAGATGCTCTGCCAGGTATGATTCAAAACAAAACTTACAGGAAAGATTAGGCACAAAACAAGAAAATAAACACAAAAAAGCCAAATGCCAGAAGTGAACTCAAACATTCTTTAAATAATATATTGATGGACTCATCTATTGCAAGAAGATAGATTCAGATCAGGTCACAAAATAAACAAATTTTATTTTTTCCAAGTAAAATGCCAACAAAACAAAACAAAAACAGACAACAAACAAAATCCCAATGACTTAAAACCTATTAAAGTACAAAATGGAGCTGGGTGGTGCTGGCTCATGCCTTTGATCCCAGCACTCAGGAGGCAGAAGCAGGCAGATCTCTCTGAGTTCAAAGTCAGCCTGCTCTACTGAGTGAGTTCCAGGACAGCCAGAAATACACAGAGAAACCCTGTCTCAAAAAACAAAAACATCCCCCACCCTCCCCCCACCAAAATACAAAATGCTAGGCCTACATATGCTAAACTGACTCAATGGGATAGGTGGACATAAGTAAAACATGTCAAACGGAGTTGGCACTACCATAGCTCATCAAGGCTAAAGTCAGGCTAAGGAGAGCACGGAGTGAATGCCTGATGACAGAGCATTGGGAGCATGAAGTGAATGAGGACAGAGCATTGGGAGCATGAAGTGAATGAAGACAGAGCACTGGGAGCACGGAGTGATGGGAGCATGGAGTGAATACCTGAGGATAGAGCACAGGAGTCAAAGGAAAACAGCAGAAGCCACTGACCAATATGACCAAACACCGAAGCATACATTAATTCCTTTGCTCTATCTCCCCCTGTGAAATGCAAATTCAAGTCCTTGCCCTGTTGTTCTCTTCTACATTCCTATACTCTAAATGGATCTCTCATGCACTAAGGAATCAACAAACAGCTGTTCAGAAATGAAGATGTAATCAGAACTTTTATGAGCTAATGGACAAAAACAAAAATACATTAAGCAAACAATGTCAAAGGCAAGGTGAAGTGGGCAGAACCACCACACGCAGGCCAACCAACACTGCCGGCCCTTAATGCTTAATATGTAACAATGAAAGCCCCATCCTAAAATCTGGAAGTCTGGAGCCAACCATCATTATCTATAATACATGTACATGTAAAAGTAACTTTAAAGATGAGAAAACTACCAGAACTGATGTTAGTTCTATAAGACTGCCAGAGACAAAACTGTGTACGAGATTTAAGAAGTTCCTCTATAAGTGGCAGACAGCAGAGGTGTAACTACTTGGGAAGCTAAGGAGGATTGCTTGAAAGCAGGAGTTTGAGACCACCTAGGCAAATAATGAGACTCCTGCCTCTTGACCAAAACAAAAAGAGTTAATTTTATTGTAATAAAATAAACAAAAAGCAAACACTTGAAAAATAAAAGAGGATTTTAATAGGTAATAAAAAAGTTACTTTACTCAAAACCAGGATGTTACTGAACTTGAAAAAGAAAGCAGAAACCACTGTATCATGATACAAAACCAACCAACATACCTTCAAACCTGTAATAAAGAGAACTTTGGCAATAATGGTTGGGGAAACCTTTTAGCAGTTCAAAAAGCAAACACACACCTAAAGCTTGATCACTGCTTAGAACAGAAGTGCTCTGATGGATAAGATAAAGGAGACAACTATTAAAAATTTCAGTTAATTTTTAAAATATAATTATCTAACAGAAAAGGCCTAAAAATTGGAAAGACAAGAACAAAGAAAGGGAAGACTGACAACAAGAAAAAGACGTCTCTCTCTCTATGCAAAGAAGAAAAATACCGAAAGTAGAGTGCAAAGATAAGAACAAACTGGGATGCTTCCAGAAGTGACGAGTCACTGTGCTCAAAGTGCGGACAACATCTAACAATCAGTAATAAAGAAAAGAACCTGACAGAGGGCAGGCATAGTAGATGACAAGTAAATCAACTAAACATAAAAATGGTCAAATATTGAGGAGATGGCTCACTGGGTAAAAGTATTTGCTGCACAAACAGAGGACCTAAGTTCAAATCCCTAGAACCCTATATAGGGCTAGGTGTGGTTACATGTGTCTATAATCCCAGTGCTACAGTGAGATGGTAAGTGGACACAGGAGAATCCCCAGAAGCTCTGTATACAGTGATGAACAATACAGGCCAACCTACACACACACACACACACACACACACACACACACACACACACACACACGTGTCATACACACATAGAAACAAAATGGAGAAATACTAAGATCACATTGTCAATATTTACTGAAGGAGGGAGTTTAAACATTAGTCTTCCTAAGTGACCTCTAATATGAAACCTAGGGCTTTTACAAAACAAGGAAGTGAGAATTCCAGCCTTTTATAGTCTTAATTTATGATCCTACATTTAACCACTAAGCTAAACACCAGCACCATGCATGACACAGTTCTCTTTTTCTTTGGTGTGCATACATTTGTGCATGCATGTATATAGATCAGAGATTGACAGTGGGTGTCTTTTTTGATGGCCTGCCACCTTATACACTGAGGCAGGGTCTCTCATTTGAACTTAATTTATTGATTCAGCTAGCCTAGCTAGCCAGCTTGCTCCAGGATCCTTGCTCTGTCTCTATGGTGCTGGGATCACAGTAAAGTCTCCACACCCACCCAGCATTTGAGGATGCTAGGGATCTAAACATTTGTCCTTATGTTTGCAAGGAAACTAATTTATATAATGAGCCATCTCCTTAGCCTTGATTTTTTTTTGTCTTTATTGAATCAATTTTCTATACTATTCACAACATACAGTTTGCTGGTGAGACTTGCAGATTTAAAAAATATACTTATTAATGTGAATTATAATGAAAAGTAAGTCACACACAGTCAATCAGAGCAAAACCCAGCCCCATGTACTCCTCTGACAGCCCAGCCAAGAACGTAGACTATCCCCAGCCCTTGGACACCATGTGAAGCACTGACTCAAACAGCCACTCCAGGGAGTCTGCTCATAGTCCCATTTACTTAGTGACATCTTGGAGATCAGTCTATACTTATCATGTGCAATAGTAGAAGAATTCTGAAATATCACAACAATTTCTGTCACAAGAAAAGGTATTGTGTCATCATATCTGAAAATCTGATTTTAAACTGTTCCAAAGCAGGCTACTTCACAGTATCATCTATCTACTCAAGTAATAGGGATGGTGATCCTAAAGTGTATTTGAAATATAAGAGGCGCTCAAATTAAGAATCCCTCATAATTATAACACACATTATCATGTCTCAGTGTATAAAGCAGCCAATGAACAGACCACCACTCTCATCCCCCTGCTCTATCTAGGACTGCAGTCCCTCTCATCAGACACTTTCAGGGACTGGCTAGCTCTATATGCATTTTGTTTTCAAAACAGATCTCCCCGTGTGTTTGAAGATGCTCTTCTGAAACACTAGGTGCTGATAAAAAAGCATTGAACCGAGATCCGGATTTATGAAAAACTAAGTCAATCAGGGAACAGCTTATACACAGAATATCATTACCTTGACATTAACTGACTCTTTCTTTAAATTAGCCAATAACTACTTTCTTAATTAAAAAAGTTAAATGCATCTTTATTGGTAATTTTTTTTTCACTGCTTCATGCATGTACACCACAGAGTCTGGCCATTCTCTTTCCGCCTCCTATTTCTCTTCCACCCTCATCAGCCCTGTCTTCCTGCCTATAGTCTCTTTCCCCTATTTACTAGTTTTGGTTTTATTTTAGTGTCCCCCAGAGCTTAATTAGGGCTGTCTCTGTGACTTCTAATTACACTTTTTAACAGCTAAAGTTGAAGTTACAATGTTCACTATAATTGCAAAAGAAAATTAGTCACTGTGAGTCGATGAAGCTTATAATTTTTTGAATATATCTCAAATTCCCTTTAGCAACAAAACTGTCTCATTAAAAATGACTTTGAGTGTCTTTTGACTTTGACTATCTTTGATGCAACTAATATGATCATATTGGGGATATTCTATTGACCTGAAAGAACACAAAGATTTATTTTAGGAAGAAGAAAAAGAAAGAAATATAGAATATGCATGTAAGTCTTATAGCTATATAAAAAACTGCTCAAAAATGTATAAAGTATTTTAATACATAGCCGCACAAGGCAGGGCTTAATCCCTAGCAACACACACATACACACTATACAAATACATACCAGGCTCCAACTTGATGATTTTCACTGCAGCTAATTCTCCTGTATGTACATTTCTGGCCTAAAAATAAAAATAGAAAAATTCAAGTTTGTTAGGTGTATAAATATTACAAGATACTACCCTAAAATCAACCATGCTTTTAACAAAACAAAACTCTAAATCTTCTTACCAGTAAAATGGATATACTCATTTCCTTATTAAGGAAAAATATAGAAAAGACACAAAAGTCTTTTTAAAAATTGCTTTAGTCCCACTTCTCAAAAACAGCAACTGAAAACAGCAACTGTTTAAATATTTTAGTATGTTTCCTACAATATTTTTTCATTATATGTGGGTTATTTTCTCAGTATTATTTCTCAGGGGGAAACAAATATTTCTAAGTGGGGGAAATAATTCTGGTGTTCTATTGCACAATACAGTGACAACAGATAACTATGTGCTGTGCATTAAATAGATTTTGTTTCCACAAAGAAATCACAAAAGTTTCAAGTGTCAGGTAGCCTTACCCTAACCTGTGCATATGCAATGTACCCATTTGTCAGTCCTGACCTTACAGGCATGTACGATTATCATGAGTTGGCTTACACAATGAACAAAAGATCTGGGTCCCAGGGCACAAGCTGCAGTCCTAACTACTGGGAGGCAGAAATGATCACTTGAACTCAGGATCTGAGAGCAGGCTGGCAGCAGAGAGAGCCAAGTATTTCAATAAATGAATAAACAAATAAAATTTCCATACGGCTAAAACCACAAAAACAAAACCTTCATGTTTATTTTATACTATAATCATAACCACAAGCCACTAAATGGAAAATAAATCTAAATGATTCATATCTAAGTACCCAGAGAAAAGCAGCCTTTCCTGTGCTTCCTCTCCCCATGTGTACATGAATGTGACTGTGCACATGTGTGATGAAGCATGATGATCCTATTACAGTCTTCTACAACATTGGCAGTGCTGCCACCAACAGGATACATAGTTTATACCCAACTCACTACTGCTACACTTCTAGGATTTTAACACTCTGTAATTATACAAAGGATAAATATATCGTAGCATTATATCTATTCATAGCTTTGATTATTTCCTTCATACAAATCCTTAGTAGAAAAATCACCATTTTATAATGATCCTGGACAAACTACAATTAGTGCTACAATGAATATCCCTGCAAATATTTTTAGCATGTATCACTTTATCAATAAAGCAACCTGTACATGGAATTCTTAGCTTAAAAGATATGTGACTTAAAATGCCTTTGCTCCCACACTGCTCTAAAATATGTTTGATGCAGGACATGAAAGAGGAAAAGAACCTGGAAAACAGAGCCATAAAAGCACACTTTGTTCTTAAGTGTCATATGGTATCTAACACACATGCTGATTGGAAAAATCCGAATTATACTCTTTATCACCTTGGATGGTATATGTATTCTACCAGGATCTAGTGTAGGTAGAAATTTTTATTGCTTTAAAAATAATATACTTTCTACCTGCTATATAATCTTAAGTAGCTATTTTGAAATAGTCCATATAATAGTTCATTTGCAGTTCCTACTAATATCACAAATGGTATACATCCTTATTGAGTCTATATATCTTTTCACTATTTAAATTATTTCTTACAAATGGTTTCTAAGATAAAAGAATTTCATGCCAAAACTTATGAATACTTAAAGCTGTTTACACAAACGTTTAAAACACCATAACATTATATTCTTATCATTACTATCAGAGCTCATTTTCATTGTGACCAGTTGTATTCTGTATGTGAAAATTAAATGTAATTTCTTATGACACTTTTACCCATTATATAAGATTTAAATGACAACTTTTGACATAAAAATAAGTACTACACAATAAAAGAGGTCAGAATGGTTTTGGTAATTTGCTGGGTTGGGTAAATCATATAATTAGAAAAATAAGAAAAAGGAAGGGGACTGGAAGAACAAAGACTCAGGGAGGAGAAAGTTAGCGGAGATGCCTTTAGAATGAGCCAGAGGCCGAGAAAGAGCGGTGGGAAGATGGGAAAGACAGAAAAGCTGAAGAGAAGACACAATCATTGTCAACACTGAAGCTCCAACTGTACATTGATGAGTTCACATATTCCTCTTGAGGTGAAGTAAGAACACTCATTTTAATTCCCCCATCTGCAGTCGCCCCTCCTAAAACCATGAAAATATTTAGAAAAAACAGGAACAGAGAGAGCTTTATGACATCCCCGGCACCATCTTTTTTGTCCTTGAATAATAATAAAAAAAAGGACTATCCATTAATTTCAGGTCTTGGAGCTCTTACTACATTCAGCATTTCAATATCTCCTGGGTTGTAGGAAGACTGGTTCATATATCCTGGGGCTGTCCTCATGCCATGAGACCCGGGAACAGAAGACACGGTAAGAGGTTACAGAATAAGCAGTTAATGACCTCCAGAGATTCTTACTCAGTGGATTATAAAATATATTATTAGAAGGCAGATTCCACAACAATGATGGCAATTACACCTGTATTATTTTATGGTCTGCAGAGTGCTTTGGTTATTTAATTCAACTAATTTAGTCATAAAAAGATTCAGCTCAGTAAAATCAAATGACTGTCTAAGGCCAAGCTGCCAAAGGCAAGGATCAGGTTCAGAACAACAAACTGTGACAGGTGCCAGGACTTCTCTCCAGAAAGAGTGCTCTCCTCTCCGCTTTATAACATGAAACAGGTACTTGAGAAAGTATTTAGTAACACTAATGACATTAATTGAAAAATCCACTAATAAAATCATCTTTCGAATTAATGGTTCCTATGAGGATCTTATTCATCCATTCATTGACGCATGTCTAGTGGGAACAGATCATGCTAGATAGCTACATTCCTAGGTCCTTATTTTTAATGTCACAGAATTTGAATTATTATGTTTTAAAATCTTAAAAAAAACTTAAAAGTTGAACTTAATCCACAGAAAATTTCTTTTAAATAATCTGCAAACACACACACACACACACACACACACACAGGCAGAACCTTTCCAACATGTGTAAAATTACTTTGAAGGATGGGATAAAATCAAGTTCAGACTAAATTCTTCTCTTATCCACCTGTGGCAAACCAGCTGCTTTCGCGCTTGCATGCCAGCACTTCTTGACTTGCATTCTTTCTCTAAGGTAATCTTTTAGACTTATCACTGGAATTCTATAGAACACAGGAAAGCATCTACAGGCAGAGTAGAAATCCCTTACCTGGAAGAAGGGCTTAAGAAAGGAGGCAACAGAACACCAGAAAGTACCACATAAAACCACAAAATGGCAGTTAAGTAACATTCAAAGCCAGGAGTCTTAGGTAAGAAACACAAGGTTGGATGCATGAGACACGGACTGACTAATACAATTCCAACCACAAACTACTTTCAGGATATTCATTATTCCAAGTCTTGCTGGTATCTCATGGCCAGTTCAGTGTGTAGTCCCCAGGACATGAGCCTTTGGAGGGCTGACACTTGGTAGGTGTCCTGCCAGTACTGTGAATACCAGAATGATATAATCCAATCTCCTGACACTAGGACATACTATGAGACTGAAAACATACTGAACCACTTTGTTCTTGCTTATGCTGTTTGACTGCTATTTTTATTTCCACAAATTAAAGAGAAATTTGGAGGGAAAGGCTATATAATTTATTACAGAGTCAGATTTTGTTGTAAAAAAAAATTAAAATGAGTCAGCAAATATGGTAGTCTTCTCCATCCCATCTGACCTCCTCATTGACTACTGCTGACGGTTTAGAGTACATGCTTCCAGGCTTTGCTTAAATTTTTTCAAGGTTTATTTTTATTATCTGTGTATGGGTGTTTTGCCTGCATGTATGGCTGAACACTACTCACATGCCTGGTGGTCACAGAAGTCAGAAGAGGGATTCAGATCTCCTGGCACTGGAGTTACATCTAGCTGTGAGCTGCCATTCGGGTTCTGAGATTCAAATCCAGGTCCTCCTGAAGTGCTCTTAAGTGCTGAGCATCTCCCCGGCCTGGGTTAGATGGAATTTTAAGAGTACACATGCACAGACACGGACACTGAAAATGTGCCTGTTTCTTACAAAGCTAAACAGTCTCAGCATATGACCTAGCAATCTCTGCTTCTAGGCATGTACCCAACTGAAATGAGGACTTGCTTCTACATACAAACATTAGCAGCAGCCAGTCCATAATGGAATTAGACAGGTGACATTCACAGTGTCACTCAATAGATAAATGGATAACTGATGCATCTACTGGCATTAAAAAAACACGAGCCAAATAGCCGTGAACACGGATGGAGGAACCTTAGATACAGATGGGAAAATAAGAAGCCATCTGAAGAAGCTATAAATATAAATATAATAAGCTCTACATATAATCCCACCTATGATATTAAAAGGCAAAGCTTTAGAAATAGGAAAAACTACTAAAACCACAACCTCCATGCCAATACTAACCAAACAATTACAACAAAATCCAAAGTAAAACATGTTACCAAGTGGTTAGATTAGAAATAAATAGGTGACATGCAGAGGACTCTTGCGGCCGTCAAGGTGTTGTGTGTGAAGATGAAACACTGGAAGCACAATGCTAAGAGCAAACCTTTATATTAACTAAGGGTAGACAGCTTTTATTTAACTGCTACAAACCCTCCTAGAGTCCTGGTTGAGCTCATTTCTGGGTATTTGGACTGTCTTTTGGGGTTTGGGGAAGTGGCGTTTCCTTTGGACCCAATGAAAAAGGAAGGCCCAAGGACTCATGGATTTTTTTTCCCCCAGAGTTGCTCAGAAAGAAACACGGCTTTGGAAAGTTTGAAAACAACTATGGAACCACAGAAAGATGGTATTTTAAAACTCAGCTACACTGTGTAGAAGCCTGAATATATGTAGTCACAGAAGTAAACGTAAAGAACCACAAACTACAACTTCTACCGACAGGACTATTCAAATGTCAGTTTGCACTTGGAAAACATATTTCTGTCCTCTCCAAAGGAAGAACTGATGGGCAAATGTTTGTACTCTGTAATTTTCCAGCTGGATTTTTAAAACAGAAAGCAGTACCAGGCTCTTTTATAATGAAAGGCAAAGAGGCTTTGGGAGGGGGAGGGGAAGGGCGCACATGCACACACACAGAGACTTCAGATTCAATTCAAATCAAGAGATCTTTCAGAAATTTAACTATGTAATTACACAATATAATTTAAAGGAGTATTGGATTTGAGAATACTGAATTTTAAAGTACAACATTCCCCTCCAACAAGTTATTGCCCACTATACTACTCCTTTTTAAACTAACATGCAGAATCTGAAGATCTTGCACTGCTTATAAAAGGAACAAAAATCCCACAGCAACTCTACAAAGAAATGCCAGTGTGTTACTAATTCCTATTTGAGTAGGTTATTGGTATAATAAGCAGGCAAGCACCCGGGTGTCCAATACAATGTAGTTAGTACAGTCACACACCTTAGTTAATGCTTACCAGCTGGTACTGATATCATTAAATGGAAATAAGATAAATTCCTACTAAACAGACTTTACTGTTCTTCACATTAGATACCTC